GATTTCAGCTCTCTGCCTCTGGCTGCACTCTCGGCCACACCCACTTCACCGTGCAGAGCAGAGATCAGCTGATCAGATGCAGGAAGAAACTTCTCTCACAGCTGTTGGCTGTACACAGGTGCTAAATCATTTAAAATAATAAATTCATGCCGATCGTGGGGCTCATCCATCAATCAGCCATTGTGTGTCATGTCCAATTTTACTTTGAAAAACCGCGATGGAGCGAGTCCGTGAAAAATGAAGTGCGAATTTGTTAGGTACAATTTTGTCTCTGTTTTCACTTTAGTACTGTATATTTACTGGTGATATATTAGTATTTAACATTGGAAATTATAAATAAATAACACTTTAAATAGGAAATTTAGATTTTTGATAGCATTGTTTTTTCTTCTAAGAGCACTTTAAAAACTTTGTCTTATGTTGAGTGTTCTAAGTAATTATTTTTTTCTGGTCAGGGTTAGGGTTCATGCTAATCTTGTAGCCTCATTTTTCACAAGTCATGTTTTTAAAAATGTTTGCAGAATTTGTTTCACTGCCTTGTTAAGAAATCAAAAAAATCTTCAACTTGTGCTAAAATTTCAATTTACTTATTTATCACAGCTAAGATTAATCCCAGAAATGTGTACATTACATTTTACCAAAATTATAGCAACTGCTCTATTTCTAATTTAACTGTTGCAATTCCATTATATGGATTCATAACTGTCTGATTCATATGTTTAATGTATTTAAGGAGAAAACAGACACTTTTGTTAATGTTATTGATTATTCCCGCCTGGTGTTAACATTTGTATATAATAACCATAGCATAAAACAATCTGAGAACAGTTACCAGGTGCTATAGTCTGTGCATTATATTGACTAATTTTATTCTGAAATGCATAAAAAGTTACTTTTTTAAATCTAATTTTAGTTTGTATCCAAGATAAATCTTTTTCATTTTTGGTTGTTAGACAGTAATAAATAAATAAAGTCCTATGTGTTGTCATCACTGTATGTTTGCATACAATGGCGAAATTGGTTCTCTGCATTTAACCCATTGCACTTGGGATACACCAAGGTGGAGCAGTGGGCATGTATGTGGGCACCTTGGGAGCAATGGGGGATTTGGTGTCTTGCTCAGACACCACAACGTGTGGGAATGGCTGGGGATTGAACCTGGGACTCTCGGGTCCCGAGTCGGCTGCCATGCCTCTACCCCATCCCAGCCCCTATATGCATCTATTGTAGTAAGATAACTGAAGAACCTCTTCTTGGCCTCCAAATGATAAGCCCTGCTTTAAAAAACACACTTTATTGACACCATTTTATTTCCCTGGAACCATATGACTGATCTGCTTTCTGTATTTATCAGAGCGTCTGATGCAGTGGCGTATACTGCTCCTCGCTGACAACTGTTCTTTATTGTGTGCGATTCAATTGAGTTACTCGTGGCTTCACTTCATTTTTATTGTGACCAGGGAATGAATCTGGATCTCGGCTCTCTGAAGTCATAGTGAATTAAGGGCTGCTTCTGTCTTCTCTTGTTTGTAACCATGTAGTCTTTGTCAAACCACAAAGGACAAATCCAATCAAATTTGGTGGAAGAGGTTAAAGAGCTGACCACCGTGCCCCCCTTCTGTGGGCTTGTTACTTCTCAGAATTGCCCTCATAAATCTTCTCAGCAAAGTAACAGAGTGCACAAAGCACAAGGGTATTTTAAAGGTTGTCAGAGATGTGATATAAAGTAACTCTTCCACCAGTCAGAGAGCCATTGTAAACATTGTATTACTCAACAGATGCCCACTCAAAGTCAAGGCTGATGCAGAGGTCTTCTGTCAGTGTGGAAATGTATCTTGATCTTCATTTTTCCATTCTTTGCACCAGTTGTGATTATTTGTTTTTTACAGTATAATATGCACATCCAGTAGGGCAGATCTATGAAATGGTAGTGCATGGCAAAGACAGAGAAGAAAATAGTAGGTTATTTTCCATGACTTATATCATTCATTCATTCAATTTTTATTTATATAGGTTAGTCTCATCGAGCCACGGTGACTCATTTACAAGAGTTACTGGACATGGGCACCGGCAAGCCCCGTGACCCAAAATGGAAGAAGAGGGTAAAGATAATGGATGGATGGATGGATGTAAAGCGATGCAGAATACTGGAAAACTAAAAACAGAACCATGTCTACATTGGTTTTTGCCATGAACTTGGCAGATGTTTGAAGCCACTTAGAGAGATCAAGGTTGAGAGGTTCAGATATTTTTGCAAGATATTCTAGGAAACAGTGCAGACAGAATTAGGCAAAAGTCTCCTACTCCACTCCTGAGGGAACACTGCATGTAATAATGTCCTGGGAGCGCAAGCTGTAGCTGCACTCACGTAATGACATGTAGGAAGAGATGTATGAAGGCAACAGACCAAGAAGTGATTTAAAGATGAAAATGTACCAGTGAGAAAGTCTGCATGAAGTTAAGGATGACCAGTGAACCACTGAATAGGGTGCAGTGGTGGGTACGGTAGTTACATCCAGTTATGAATCTTAGCGCACTGTGAAAGACAGCGTCCAACATCTGCAAGGTGCTTGCAGGAGTGTTCATGTAAATAATGTCACTGTAGCCAATGGAGAGAAGGAAAGTCACAGTTACAAGGCGTTTCCTAGCGTTCGGAGTTAGACAAGATCCATTACTGAAAAAGAACCCCAATTTAACTTTGTTTCTTTACTAAGTTTTCCATGTGGAGCTTAAAAGAGAGATGCAAATTGACCAAGATACCCAAATATTTATAGGAATCAACAAAACTCAATAGGGGCACCATTCAAAGATAAAATCGGGAAAATACTTGCTGGGACCGACTTCCTGTTTGAAAACAACATCCCTTCGGTTTTGTCGGTGTTTAGGACAAGTTTGAGATGGAAGAAATCAGACTGGATGATGTCAAAAGCAAATTGCAAAAGCTGGAAAACCTTAGCAACTGTTTTCGCTCTACAATAAACAACTGTATCATCAGCATGAAAATGTAAGGATGCATCAGGGATTATTTGACCTACATCTATGTAAACTGTGAAGAGGGTGGGTCATAAGACTCATATCATGTAATTTTTGCTATGTTTGGTTATCCCAAATTTTAACAATATTGGTTTTGGTGGTGCTTGAGCAGTACAAAGCAGTTAAGAGTTGTTATAAAGGTAAAGATTACAGAGTCAACCCAACTCAAACCATATTTATAGTATATTTTCAAATATAAGTTTCATAGTCTTTCTATTTTTTTACATGTCCTACTTTATGTAAAAATCACATTTTAATAATTAAAAGTTTTGCATACCGGTATAATAAAATTTGTTTTCCCACCTTTCACACAATGACTGCTAATTCTTAAACTAATATAGCCATTTTATACCAAAGTCTTTTGCTTTATTGTAAAACACTGACTTATCTCTGTGTTTTGAGGTAATTTTCACACCCATTATTATTATTATTTTTTTTTTAAAGCGAGGACATGACGCTCATGTTGCATCAGGTTTGATGGGAAAAACAAGCAAATGTTGCTCCAGGTCTGAAAGGTAGATCTAAACAAGCGTACATCAATTCTTATTGGGTTAAAGTCTAACAACTTGTGGAAAAACAAGTGTGTACCATAAAGCTTGAGATAATCTTGTTTTACCAATGTGGACTGTTGGCTTTCACAATCTTTCACTCAGATTTTGGCTAAGGTGCCATTCTGGCTTGTGTTTCCATCCCCTCACTCAAAGTACCTCATTTGAAATCAGTGGCTCTGCCAAAAGTCATTTGCAAGCCAATTAACAAACATGTGCGCAATTATGTTTCTGCCTTTGTTCAATTCAGTTAACAGTATTTGTCTGAATTGGTTGATATGCTGTATTTCTCTCTCTCGCTCTCTGTCTCATCTAGGCTCAGAATTAATGCCCAAAGCGTTATCGACCAGGATCATTGGTGGAATCTGGTGGTTCTTCACTCTCATCATCATATCTTCTTACACAGCTAATTTAGCTGCTTTCCTCACTGTGGAGAGAATGGACTCACCAGTGGACTCAGCTGATGACATTGCCAAACAGACCAAGATTGAGTATGGAGTGGTCAGAGATGGAGCAACAATGGCTTTCTTTAAGGTAAACGTATCTCAAATACTAAATATATGACTTATTAAATACTGTAAACAATGTAGCAAATATCATATAAAGTGGGCTTTAATGGTTTCTTGTTTCAAAGTTTCTCTTTTGCCTCCAGGTTCTTGCATTTTATTTCTATAATCTGAACTGAGCATTGCTGTAGATTTGGCTGATTCTGTGTTGAATAATACAAGTAAGAGAGTTACAGTTTCTCATAGTAAGAAAATGAAAACACTGCATCATTACTGTTGAATAAACTCTGTAAGTTTATAAAATTCAATATCAAACAGGGGTTGAAAAATCCTCAAAGGCATTTGTCTGTTCTACTTTTCATGCAACTGTATTTTGTAGCTCAGCTCATAAATATCATACATTTGAAGTTTTTTTTTTTTTTTTTTTAGTATTTACAAGTGAAAATATTTTTTTATTTTTAAAAAGAATTCACATTAAGACATGGTTTTAATATCTTGTAATTCTACTGCCAACTGTGTATTCATAATGTTTGTAACTATCTACAGGAAAAGCAATATTAAGTGGAATATTATAAGAATAAAACGAGAACATAGATGAAAAAAACAAACAAAATTATTCAGAATTAACAAAAAACAAACAAAAAACAATTTAATCAATGTTCTTGCATTCCAAGAATGAGTACATACCTCCGTCTTCTTTCCACGCCAATTTCAAAATAAAATCCTAAAACTAAAGATCGAGTTGAGGATGACTCTCAAAGAATACCATATTATTAGATTAAGTTCAGTTAATTAACTGAGATATAGATTTTTTTTTTTGGCTTTCTAAGTTCTGTTAGCTGAGGCAGCCATCTTGAATTCACTTGACTCCAAATGTTAATGAGTTGTAGATGTATAGCCAATGATTACTTTATATTCAGCAGGTTGAGATATTTTGCTAACAAGCAGACACAGTTAGCTCCTATAGTTATTTGCAAAGTAAAAAAAAAAAAAAAAACCAGATCTTATGTGAGAAATCAAGTGCTCAGAGTATGTGTTACGGACGACACTCACCTATGACCACTTCAAATTTTAGCTTAATCTCAGTAAAACTGATTAAGTTTTAGCCGTTCAGGTTGCTATAAACAGAGCAGGTACACACATATCATCATCATCATCAACTTTATTTATAAAGCATTTCAACACCAGCCACAACTGAAACAAAGTGCTGAACATCAGTTAAAAACAAGATAAAATAAAGCATATATACTATGTAAAAGTAAATACCAGTACATACACACACACGGCACAGAAACCTCCTAAGCCTTTAGGGCCTCAAATACACTTTATAATTACTGTACTTATACCACAAATCTGTGATACACAAGGTCAACAGGGTGTTTGTGATGAGATGTGCCAGGGTTGACATGCTTCAAGTGGCTTGGACCCCGATAATAACTGCTCACAGTTCTGGTTAGAATTTAGATTTATATCTTAAAACAAACAATCATTTATCTTTATTTGTTCCCATTTTACACTGGTTCAGTCTTTGAGCATCCAAAACTATTGTTACTAATCTGTGATTCTGAATATTACATGTAGTTATTATGCAAAGATAAATGGCTATTTCTGAAAAAGCTGTGTAAATTATGTGCCATCATTCTTTGCTCCACAGCAAAGTGTGGTTGTGATCATAGTGTCAAGAATAAGAGTCACAGGTGCCTAATTACCCATGGCTCAAGTGCCCTCTGCCAGCTTTTGCCCTTGCAGTAAGACCTAATGATGTTAATTTGGTGAGGCAGAGAAGCATGATAAATACTGGAGAGATTGTGCTGTGGATAAAGGCTTTGCAGATGTGTGCAAATGGATTTGGTTCTTAATGTGGAGTGCAGAACTATTTTAAATGCTATGAAAAATGTAGGCCTCTGAGCTTAAACCCAAATGCCACCAGGAGGGATAATCATGAAAAATATTGCCCGTAGTGAGTAAATTGTGAGGCATCTCTTAGAAAAGTTAACCATATTTCAAATGTTACATTTTTTTTGAAAATGTCATATTAAAAGTAATTGATTAAAAAAACATGTTGATAAAAGCTTTGCATCGGCCTACTCATACAGTAGGTTAGTACTGTGAGTTTTTTTAAAAGGCTTATAAGACGAGAAACTGACAGGAGGGGGATGGGGAGCTGGGGTTTAGGTAATGGATGATTGCCTGAACCACTGCTCTTAAATCTGAGATGATATTTGTGAACATGATTTTTGGAGATGTGTTTACATTTACAACACAGTGCAACTATGACTAAGCGCCGAAAACAAAGGTTATCACTAAGTTAGGATATGGAGAATATCCAACTATGTTGCTGTGGTTGTTGCTGTCTATCAAAACCTCCAAATGAAAATAATTATAACAGCAGAGTCTAAACAGAACAATGAATCAAACAACTAGAGTAATGTCAGGACCCTAAATATGCAGGCCAGCAATTGGTGTAAATAAAAAGAGCAGAATGTTGTTGAAAGTATTTTTCTTAACATGAGCATTACCAGCATCAAATGACAAAATATAAAAAATAGCATATACTGTACATATACTGTACATATAATGTACATATACATGTGTTAAAATGCAATATCAGGTAAAAAAGGCAAAAAGTGTTGTGTCAAAATAAAGGCTTACTAAATAATCTATATTTAAGGGTGCTTTTAAAGTTCTGTGCATGAGTTAAAACCATCATGAATTTGCTAATGGCGAACTTGTTCTTGTAAATTTTGTCTCAAGTTGTTGTGATTTCTGATTTGATTCAATAACCACCTTCAGAAAATATTGGATCAATGCATCATTGTGTTCTTTTTGCAATAATGTAGTATTTTGATACATCACTATTACTTTGATGGACTGGCAAAATGTCTCTCACCTTTACCCAATGAATGCTGGAGATGGATACCTGCTCCACATGACCCTGGTAAAAAAAATAAAAAACATGGAAGAATAAATAAATATTACTATGACGTTACCTTTTACAACAGCCAATATTTTGGCCTGCACAATTTGAGAAAGCTTTGTGATGTGATAGTTGATTATTGCAATTATGATATCATTTATTAAAAATTCAAAAATGACTGCTTTTTCAGTTCTGTCATCATGACACTTCCTTTCTTTCTATTTCTCAATAACTTCTATCTAAACTGGGTGTGGCATCAAGAGCAATAAACATCCATTAGACTTGCCTTATAAATATTTGACATCCAGATCATAAATGCCTGATGCCAAATACAAATAAATATATTAATTATTTTGGCATGCATGCATCTTTGAAAGAACTCAAATACATCTCCTAACAAGAAAACAAAGTTAATAAATCCTAAATAAAAAACTACCAATAACATAACATCTATTAGCCTATGATTTATTGCAGTGCAAGCAGTATTTTCCAGTATTAACATTGCACACATTGTCAAAAGTGTGACCATTACATCAAAACGGTCAGATTTTATCAAAATGAAATAAAGCCTTTTTTCAGTTTTCTGGCTTTTTTAAGCTACATTTTTATTCCTACATCATCCAGATATTGTGGGCGCTTTTTGAGATGTGGCTTGAATTGTCTGCTAATCAGGATAACCCCTGAAAAATCCATCTGAATCATTTTTAGTGTATTCTAATGAGGATTTCTTGATGTCATTTGAAGCAGCTAGCATCATAGTGCATATGAAATGTAGGGAAATATTTCTGCTAAAAGTCATTATTAGGTGTACAATTGTATTTCAGACATTTCAATCAACACATCTATAGATAAGGTATTTATTAATTGTGTTTTAACAAAATTATCACAAACTTTTCAACCAATAGCTGCCTATATCTCAACTTACCACATTGCAACTCTAGTTCAATATTATGGGTCACAAATGTTCAACTTATATTGCACAACTATATTTTCCTTTGCAAACATTATACTTTTGTCATGATAGGCTTTGAACAAAAGAAAATCAAATCTGATATGTATGATGATGCTGGCGGGGTAAGCATTCTAGATATCTTTAAAAGCAACTAATTGTTGCCCATGAAGGTGTTTTGAGAACATTTTTTTTAATGAAGCTGTTGGTTAAATTACGATATATTTAAATCACCAAAAAGTCCATCTGAGCCACAGCCTCTTAAATAAAGCTTCATCTATAACGGGGCCATTGCTGTCAATAGATTAGAGGAAAAAAGTTGTAAATTCACATCATAAAACTATATCAAACATTAGACTATTACATTATCACGTTAGTATTATGCAGCCAAGACTGGGTTTAACGATAGGAGGGCTTTGTATAATAACATCTTTCACAATTTGAAATGGCTTATAGTCTTTAGACAGTAATTATCTCAGATTAGACATGGCATAAATGTGACCTCACACAAAATTGCATGAAAAACCACATAGACTGGTGCAAGACTAATGGAACGTCATTCTATTATTGCTGCCTCAGTAGCACTTATGAGAATAGATGTGTGCAAATCTTCAGTTTATTGTCCTTTAATTCTGTGACAATAGAAATCTATGGGTAATCATTTAAATCTATTTGGAGGTTAGCTGAATTAACCAAGATCTCAAATGCTATAAATGAACAAATACTATCTGTATAATGTCTGCCATTTTGCTGCATCCAAAAATAAAATCCCACAAGTGTAATGGTAACTAAAGAACAAGGGACATTTGATGGTTAGCAGTATTTCCACTTTGAGCACTTAGGGCTATAACGTTTGAAAATTATTTTATTCAAGTTGAACCTTTTTGTTGTGATAAAAGCTTTGTATATTTATAAGCAACTTTTTATTCGCCTGCAGCATGGTAGATAAGTAAAATGAGGTTCAAATGGACTTTTTTTTAAAATTCTTTCTCCATCCTTCACAGAAATCAAAGGTTTCAACATTTGAGAAGATGTGGGCTTTTATGAGCAGCAGACCAAGAACATCTTTGGTGAAGTCCATTGAGGATGGAATTCAGAGGGTGTTGAAGTCAGACTATGCACTCATTACAGAGTCCACCACTATTGATTACATCACCAGGAGAAACTGTAATCTGACACAAGTGGGAGGGCTTATTGATAGCAAAGGCTATGGCATCGGCACACCCCTCGGTAAGACTTGTGAATAACCCCGGAATACATTTGAGAATAAAAAGTAATGAAAAATTCAAGCCCTTTGCATATTTTTTCTTAGAAAGATGAGGGTGAGGAATTACTTTTAGATGCAGCTGCAAAAACAAACTAACATGTAGCTACTTGTCAGACAGTATGCCACAATGTGTTTATGAACCTTATCACGGAGTCCAGCTGGCGTTTCATCCAAAGTTAAATGGGCCTTATGTTATTTGCAGGCTCACCGTACAGAGACAAAATCACCATAGCAATTCTCAGTATGATGGAGGATGGGCTCCTGCACAGTCTGAAAGAAAAGTGGTGGAGTGGGAACAGCTGCTTAGACGAAGAGCGCCACGAGACTGGCCCCATGGGGATCCAGAACCTGGGTGGTATATTTATTGTGCTGGCTTCTGGCCTGGTGGTGTCTGTTTTTGTGGCAATCGCTGAATTCGTCTACAAGTTGAGGAAGACTGCGGAACGTGAGCAGGTATATATCCCCATAGAACATTTGTATTTTTGTAATTTGACTGTCACAATGTAATGTCAAATTATAAAACATTAATGTAAGAATGAGCAGCACGGTGACACAACTGGTAGAGCTGCTGCCTCTCAGCAAGCAGGTCCCCAGTTCAAATCCTGTTCCGGAGGCCTTTCTGGGTGGAGTTTGCATGTTCTCTCCGTGCATGCATTGGTTTTTTCCAGGTACTCCGGCTTCCTCCCACAGATGAAAAATATGCATGTTAGGCTGTTTGGTAACTCTAAATTGTCCCTAGGTGTGAGTGAGAGAATGAATGGTTGTTTGTCTAGTTTGTCTCTATGTGGCCCTACGATGGACTTGCGACCTGTCCAGGATGTATCCCACCCCTCGCACAGTGATTGCTGGACATGGGCACCGGCGAACCCCGTGACACAAAATGGAAGAAGCGGGTAAAAGATAACGGATGGATGGATAATGTAAAAATGTGAGAAGTTCAGTTATCTGGGAGCAACTCAGAGTAGAACCGCTGCTCCTCCACATTGAAATGAGCCAAGTGAGGTGGTTCTGGCATCAGGTAAAGATTCTTCCTGGGCGCCTCCCTAGGGAGGTGCTTCGGACATGTTCGACTGGGAGGAGACCCTGGGGAAGACCCAGGACATGCTGAGGAGACTTATGTCTCTCAGTTGGCCTGGGGACGCCTTGGGGTGCTCCCAGAAAAGCTGGAAGAGGTGGTCATGGAAAGAGATGTCTGGGCCTCCCTGCTCAATCTGCTATCTCTGCGACCCAACGTTGGAATAAGTGGAAAATGATGGATGGATGGATGGATGGATGGATGGATGGATGGATGGATGGATGGATGCATGGATGGATGGATGGATGGATGGATGGATAGATGGATAGATAACGTAAAAAGTGAACTAATTCCACAGTTTGTAAATTTTAGAATTTAGCCCTGGCTTCAGAAACTAAGTCCACTTTGTCAAAATTCTTATTATCTTATTATTATCTATGAATTGTGCACTATTTATAGCTTTTAGCACAAGTATGTTTTAAATTGATTTACATGCCTTTCTTTGACTAACTAATCTGTACGACTTGGCCACATCAACAAAACATTTACTTGTTTTCACTGGCGTGATTTCAAAGTGGAGCATAAAGAATTAATCCATTATTAGTCATTGGAGATAGCAAATGGCATCATCCATTTAATGCAGTGAATCTTAAATGTTGAGTTATTCAATGTGTGTTATGCTCTCGTTATATATTTTTTCTATTGTCCTTGACACAGCAGTATTTATGAGCTGTGTCTCTGTGTAATAGCTATATTTTAGTGTAACTTTTCTGACAGCCACATACATATACATGCACCTCCATCAATGCAACATAATATGTTCTACATCCATTTTCCATTTTGTGCTTTTAGATTGTTGACTCTGCTGTCAGAACAATTTAAAACTAAGGCATTTACTCCTCATCCCTTTCCCCTCTTCTCCCTCTCATGCCCCTCCCCGGATCCTCCCTTTTTGCCCAGAGGTCTTTGTGCAGCGCCATGGTGGACGAGATCAGACTGTCGTTCACCTGCGAGAGGCGGGTGAAACACAAGCTTCAGCCTCCTGTCATGGTGAAGACGGATGCAGTGATCAACATGCACGCCTACAACGACCGACGACTCCCAGGAAAGGACAACATGAGCTGCAGCACTGGGATGACCCCTGTGTTTCCATGACAATGTGTTCCCCGCAGGGCAAGAACCTCATCAGCAATGTATCGGGGACGGTGCCTGAGCCTAGAGACAATGGCATAGATGGGATCACCAGATACACCATCAACCACAGTGACATGGGGACACTCACTAAACATGGTCAACTCAAAATGGCAGCATCAGCCACACAGGTATGACAAGTCAACACTGTAATCAAATAAAGTAAATATTTTGGAAGATCCTGAGGGGAAAGAAAATGGGATATCTGATAAAGGATACGGTTCACCCAAATATGAGCCCATTTGAAGTCTGATGTTTACGCCTATAACACAAGAAAAAATAAACACACTTTTTAAGGGATGCTCAATCGTTTCAAAGATTAAAAAAAAAAAAAAAAAACGATGTGAAAATGAGGCCTAACAACGTAAGAAAGGCTTTTATGAAAAAGGCAATAAGTCTCTTTGATAAAAATTAAAAATGGGCGAGGCAGTTTTCATTGAACATGAGTTTTGTCACAAATCCCATCTATGTCACGTTCTCATGTTTTTCCTGTTGATCTACACAGTCCTAAATGGCCTTTGGCAGCAGAAAAGTGTTACCTCAAACATCTGTAGGATTAGCTAGGTGTCTGCCTCACATACTGTTGGAATACTAATTTAGTATCAGCAACACTGTGGCTGTGAGAACCTGCAGGATGTGGAACAGTAACTTTACATTTGTTGTAGTTATGTTGTATATTTTATAAGAATATTACACATGAGCAACCATAACCACTGATGCAAAGTGGGCTGTGGAAACAACTGTGTATTAAAGAAACAAGATTTCAACATGGACTTTTTGACATGATTATGGTATTATTTTTATAACAAAAGTGCATTTTGTTTCACATTACTTTGTACATAATTAACCTGTTTTTAGTTCAAATATTGATTGCCAAAGATCTGACCATTCAACAGAAATAAAATTGGAAGACTGGGGACAGAACTGTTAGCGTTTTGGAGCACACTTTGTGTTAAAAGTAAGTGAACTATGGTGGTTTTAAATGGTACTCTCAGTGGATCATCCTGCAATAGTTTCCGTCCATTTGTGGAAGATAATATGTATCCAATATAAATAGTGTTTGAAAAAGTCAGCAATCTATTTCAGTTATCTAAACCACCTCTCCTAAAAAGGATTTAATACTTTAATGGAAGCAATTTAACAAAAGCAGTTGAAAAACAAATAATCAGCCTGTATTTGTATATTTTAAACCTAAACCTTATTTCTTATCATGTTTTGTTGTTATAATTTCTAAATAGAAATCAATAATGCTTTCATAGAGTCCAGTATTGTGCTAGTGCTATAGTGGACAAACACAGAAGAGATGCAATCCAATTCAAGGGGAAGTTTTTCCTTGCCAGGTGCTATTTTTGCCATTGACAAATCAGCAAAGTAACAACATTTTACAAAATTATTTCCTCTCAGTTTGGATTGGGACTTTATGCTTTTTAACCACTTTTTTCTTCAGAAAACGATGCTTTGGTGCAAAAACGACTTCTTTTTTTAACTGGCAGTTATGTCACAGCGAGCCCAATGTTCTGCAAGGCGCATTGTATAGATAAGAGTGATTTGATCCATTTGCAGCACCGTTGTCCACAACTTTAGTGCGTTCCGGTTCAAACTGTGCTAACACTGCTCAGTGTCGTTGCTTCTGTAATCTTAGCTTGCTCTTTATGAGCAGCCTTTTCCTTCCATTTTTTTGAATAGTATTTTTGTTACCTAGCCATTTCAAATTGTGTCCATCTTGCATCTGTTAGTTACACAAATGCCTTAATATGAATGACTTCCCTCTTGATTGTTTTGCATTCAGTTTGTGTTTGAAGGTAAAGGTGTTCTAGGACAATATGGGAGGAGTTATATAAAATATTTTATTCAACAATTCTACTCATTAAACAGATAAATGAAACATTTAAAATACAGCTTATCGTAATTTTATAAAGAGACAGGCCTGTGGGAAGTAGGGGTGCTTCAGCACCCCCTAAAGGATGTTAGTCAGCTAAGACAACATGCACTGCCAGCGTACACTTCGCTGCATACATTTGGTATTATAATAATCCTCAAATGGGTATATAGGGTCATACAAATTCACATATTTTCACAGCACCCTTCCAACTCAAACACATCCCCGTGGTTGTGCAAGAGATTATCCTCAAAATATTGACAATGTAATTTGTTGAATTTGATTTTTTTTTTTATCAGTTTGTGCTAACATTTATTAATCATATCTGCGCTTCTCTGAAACATGTAAGGGATGCTTTATGCTTGACAAATACTTGATCTAATGCTGCCCTGCGTTAAATCAAGTATTTGTATTTATGTCGGAATTTATTTTTAAAATATTGATCATTAGCATAGACAAAGTAAGACTGTTTTTTTGAAAAGCAAAGTGTATTTTCTGGGTTCATTTAATCACACTGTATGTTACAAGCTGCTCTTTGTGTTTATGTGGCAACAGGGCAACTGAATGTCTTTTTTTTTCTTTTGGCAACACTTCATTATTCTTGTGCGATCTATGAGCTTTTTTTGTTTTAGAACGATTATTTCACAGCATTCAGAACCCATCGAGGTGTTTGATTTTGAAAGGAAAAAAATGAAGAACTTGGAAGCTTTTCTGTGAACAGAAAGTCACAAGATTGTTTTATTTATTTACCTGATGTTGGACTGATTAAATCCACACTTGTCGTGATGGAACATACTGAAAGACTACGTGGTTTATAGTGAAAAAGCCAGTCGATAATCCTGTTTGTGTTGACTGTAATGCCTATATTGAGTATATATCTTCAGCTAGCGTCAACCTGGAGGAAGATTTGAGGAGTACGTGAGCTGCTGTCACCTGGGAGCTGAGCGAACAGTAAACCTCTGTGAGGTTTTTATTGTCAATACGCAGAGACAAAATAAGGCAATTATCTACAATTCAAGGAAACTAATCTGTATAACCTAGCATTGGTTTGGTAGAAATTTTCTGTATAATTGTTTATTAATTATCTTCTGCTAAGTAGAGTATGTAGATAAGATTGGCAGAAGACATATTTTGCTAAATTTATACATTATAAATCAATTCTGTTCACAAATATGTCCTATATGCTATTTATTTCATTACCAAGGTCACTTTAACCCACTTTCTCACTTTATCATGAATCCACTGCCCCAAATCTTGTTTATTCAATAGAAATGCATTATAATATGGTATACTGGATTTATTTCATCTAGATGAGACTATATATGTAAAATGTCTTTTTATGATGGCTACTATATTTCTAGAAGGTGATCATAAAATAGAAAGAGTGAGCTTCCTGAGGAGGGTTGGGGTTCTTAGAGTATGTTTGTCTTGTGTCAATGGACCTTTGCTTTTTATAAAATCTCAATCACAACTTGGCCTAAAGTATGACTGCTGCTGGTGTGTGGTTATACTGTAATAATGTCATTCTAATGTAGCTTATTTTGCAGGTAAATTTAGGACTCGAAACTCACTGTACAACACTTGTGTGATGTTTGACAACTAAAATCCTATCACAATCAAAATTAGTTGAAATTTCTACAGAGTTTCTAATTTGGCTGGTTCATTCTACTTGGTTATTGAGTATATGTTTTTTATTAACTTAATGTGAATACTGTCATTTTACACAAAAATGTAGAGAATGTGATAGAAAAGTAACTACAAATGTAATCTGCATAAACTTCCATTTTCAGTGTGTGACATGAGTTCTTAAGTTCAGCCATGATGATATGACTTTATATGTATACCTTTTGTTTTAAGTTGTAAAGCTTCTTTCAATTGACAGAAAACCTCTCAAACAATATGATAAATACATTGGTGCCAACCAGGGTTTTCTTTGTGGACATGCAGAATTTCTATGAATATAGTTTTTGTAAGGTTTTGTTAAAAAATATAAATTAATGAAAAAAAAGGGCGGTGGGTATTTGTTTTCCCTGTAATTGTATGTGTTAAGAGAACGTGTGAATAAAATACTAAGGGGATCTACAAAGTACTATAGAAAAAAAATACTGAATTATTTTCTTTTTAACACACTGTGAATAATTTAATTGTACAGTTTGCTGTATGGGTTAAAATGAAGTTTTAAATAAAAAAAGTACAACCTCATACTTGAACACTTGTCCATCCTCTGGTGTTTTGCATTAAGAGCATTACAAGCTATAGAAATTGCAGCATCAGATTTATATCCATGTTTCTTGTGTTTAACATATATACCCATTTAGCAATGTCATAGTTATGCAACAATGAGCAAACCTGTTGATAATAACTTTGCATCATGCAGACACCAGTAACATTAGTTGGATGGATTGCCTTATGCTGCTACATTAAGTAGAGCCTCTGCAAACATAGTAGCCTGTTAGTGCTATTGCTTTAGATCACAACTATTTTACACCACATATTTTGTAAACATTCTTTTTTAGTGCAAAAAAATAAACTTTTTTTTTAAAGATGAGAATAAGTTATCCCAACAAAAATGATGGGGAAAAAAAGTACATGCCACCCCTGTAGGTGGCGATATGTTGACAATGTTTCAAAACATTGTAAAGCGCATACTACTCATGACTAAACAATTGTAACGCTTTCTTTTGACACTGTTACTCTTTCCTCTCAGTCTTCAAACTTTTCAACAGAAATTTGAAATTTATTACCACCTGATTCAGAACAATTGTAGAAAGACATGTGAAAGACGGTTTTATTACTTATTCTACTGCAGTAATGGGCATACACAAAGTAGGCTCCAAAGTCAATGAATCTCAAAATCACTGTGAAACTGACATGGATAAGGATAAAATAAATAAATAAATAATCTAAATTTTGGAAAAAATGTGTAAACTAAATTTTCAGTCTAAACCTAATTTGTGTGTAAATATTAGGTGCAAAGTGCAACAGACAAAATAGTATATGTTTGTTTTGTTAGTGTGGACAATGTATTGCTTTTGTCAAAGAAAAAAAAAACTCCTGTGTGCGGTTCTCATTTCTTTTTTTACCTAATTTTATTTTCTCTTGAATAGTTGTAATGTCTAAATATACGTACATCCACTGTGTTGAC